TTACAAAGGAAAGAGGAAGGATAAAATGGGTCTTGTGGTGCTGGCCTGGAAACTTGCTTCCCCTCTCTGCTCCCAGCCATGTGAGGATGCAGGAAGTCGGCAGTGTACAAACCAGAAGAGGGCCCTCACCAGAACTCAAAATGCTGGCCCCCCCCCAATCTCGGACTTCCAGCCTCCAGTCTACGGTATTTTGTTATAGCAGCCTGAGCCTGAATGAAGTAAAACATTAGCAAAAATCAAATAGGGTCTTTAGGTAAACGGTATTGGGCTAATGTAAATTTCCTGGTTCTGATAACTGTACTATCGTTATGTAAGATGTGAACACTGAGGAAGATTGGGGGAGGGACATATGAAAACTCAGTTCTTACAAGTTTTCTGTGTGTCTACAAGTAGCTCCAAATAAAAGAATTTTTAAAAGATCATGAGGTATTCAAGGGCAGAGTTAGGTGTCCTCAGTACATCCAGAATCTTTCCCCTACTGGTGGCTCAATTACATGTGATATGATGAATGGATAAGTAAAGTTATGGTATCTAATGAAGTACTAAGCATGTATAGACAAAACAATAAAAATGCTGTAGGTTGAAGTTACTTCACGTATAAAAACAACAGATTAAAATCTTAAACTGCAAAACTAAGACCTCGGAGGGATCATGAAACACCTTAGGTAAGAACTTGCAGGAGCTAAAGGAACTTTGTAAATGCTATGGGATGGTTGGGGAATTATACAAAGATGTAATTAACCTACTTCAATCATTATATATTTACTAGAGACCAGGTGCACGAAATTCGTGCACGGGTAGGGTTCCTAGGCCTGGCCGGCGATCAGGGGTCTTCCTTCCCCAGCTGCCGGCCAGGGCCTTCCTTCATTCCATGCCGCCCCCTGGTGGTCAGCGCACGTCCCAACAAGCAGTTGAACTCCTGGTAAGTCGAACTCCCAAGGGGACAATTTGCATATTAGCCTTTATTATATAGGATAATCCTGGGTGACCATAACATAATACGGAGATAGACTAATTTGGGATGAAAAGAAGATCCGAAGTCCTAAGCAGCTAGTTTAGGGTTTCTTGGTCCCAGGCTTCCAGAAAATATACTCTAAAATATCTATATATATAAAAGGCTAATATGCAAAGTGTCCCCTCGGGAGTTCGACCAGGGGACCCGGAGTTCGGTCGCTCGCTATGATGTGCGCTGACCACCAGGGGGTGGCACAGAACGAAGGAAGGCCCCAGCCAGCAGCCGGAAGGCCCTGATCGGCCCTGATCGCCGGCCAGGCCTAGGGACCCTACCCATGCATGATTTTCGTGCACTGGGCTTCTAGTATTCCTATAATTTGAATTCCTAGTAAGGTGATAGCTTGTAACCTGATCTACCTTAGGGTGTTTTTTTCCCCTAACAATCACCTGAAATTGGAAGCAGATAATCAAAAAGTTGAAAGAGTCCTAGCCAGTTTGGCTCAGTGCATAGAGCATCAACTACGGACCAAAGGGTCACAAATTTGATACCAGTCAAGGTCAGGTACCTCAGTTGCACGCTCGATCCCAGCCCTGGGAACGTGAGGGAGGCAGCCAATGGATGTGTCTCTCTCACATCAATGTTTCTCTCTCTGTGTCTTTCTCCCTCCCTTCCACTCTCTCTAAAAATCAATGGAAAAATATCCTGGGGTGCCCTGACTGGTTTGGCTCAGTGGATAGAGTGTTGGCCTGCAGACTGAAGGGTCCCGGGTTCGATTCCGATCAGGGGCCTGTACCTTGGTTGCGGGCACATCTCCAGTGGGAGGTGTGCGGGAGGCAGCTGATCAATGTTTCTCTCTCATCGATGTTTCTAACTCTCTATCCCTCTCCCTTCCTCTCTGTAAAAAAATCAATAAAATATATTTTTTAAAAATATCCTGGGGTGAGGATTAACAGCAACAAAAAAATGTTGGAAAAGAGCCTCAAGCTGATGAAACGTGTATGCCCTCCCATGCTGCTCGCCACAACCAGTGTGGGAGAATTCATTGTTAAAAGTGCGCTGCCCAGCTCACAGTTCACAGCCCAATCACAAAGCTATCACTCTAGATCAGTGATGGCGAACCTATGACACGCGTGTCAGAGGTGACACGCGAACTCATTTTTTTTGGTTGATTTTTCTTTGTTAAATGGCATTTAAATATATAAAATAAATATCAAAAATATAAATCTTTGTTTTACTATGGTTGCAAATATCAAAAAATTTCTATATGTGACACAGCACCAGAGTTAAGTTAGGGTTTTTCAAAATGCTGACACGCCAAGCTCAAAAGGTTTGCTATCACGGCTCTAGATCAAGCATGTCAAACTCAAAGGTTAACACAGGCCAAATAAACAAGGTTTAAGTTTATGTGGGCCGCAAAAAAATAAAAGCTTCAATTTTCATAGAGACATAGGTTTATTTTGATAGAGGCATGCTGAATACAAAAGGCTGAAATAAGTGAGCAATTGTTGACATACAATAATAGAACGTTTTAATAAAAATTAATATTTTCTCTTGAACATTAACTTACCAGACACTGAATAACTGCACAAATTAATAAGCATAATGCAAATAAACCGATTTTCTTGTTCTCCGAAAGCGAAATCTTTCCTGTTGCGCACACCAAACGAGTCAGTACAAAACTAATGACATGACAATCAGCTGCTAAAATATTCGCTGCTAGTATTAGTGGAGAGAAATGTTGCACCCGCGCGTAAGGGAAATGAATGCAACACCATTATAGTAATAAATCATTAGCGAACGTTGTAGTTCATTATTAATAATTATGTATAACAGGATATTGTAAAAATTAAGTTATGAAATTTTTATTAAAATGTTTCTTTTTTTTATTTTTATTTAAAAATATATTTTATTGATTTTTTACAGAGAGGAAGGGAGAGAGATAGAGAGTCAGAAACATCGATGAGAGAGAAACATCGACCAGCTGCCTCCTGCACATCTCCCACTGGGGATGTGCCTGCAACCCAGGTACATGCCCTTGACCGGAATCGAACCCGGGACCCTTCAGTCTGCAGGCCGACGCTCTATCCACTGAGCCAAACCAGTTTCAGCTAAAATGTTTCTTATGTGCCGTTATATTGGCTGGGCCGCAAAAATATTCGTTATGGGCCGCAGGAGGCTTGTGAGTTTGACATCCTTGCTCTAGATCCTTTGACCATCAATAAAACATTATCTTAAGGGAAAAATAAATTACATGGCAAATAAATCCTCAGGTAAGGATTTAAAAATGAAAAATAAAGACTCTACAAATCTTAATAACTTCTGATAAATATTCAAATGTAGTCATTTTAAGCAATTACATGAAAACGTTGAAAAACCAGAGTTACATATATATCTCATATTTTTACTCCTTTAACTTGAATTCAACTCTAAATTGCTTGAAATCATTTATCTCAACCAATGAAACAAGATGGGAAAAAGAGGGAAAAGCATGCAAAGCAGGATAAGAAATAATCCCAGGATCAAGCTACTTGTCTTAGCTAACAATGTAATGGTTCCATCCATCTATCCAACTTTCCATTAACTTTCTTGTTCAGCATGCAAGCTTAAGATCCATAAGCCACCGTCACAAAAAGCTTGTGGGTCTTTTGGAAGAAGTTTACAAAACACCACGGGAATTCTCCAAGTTTATCTATGAAGTCCCATAGGAAGCCAACTCTAACCACGCACACTTCTTCCCTGCAGCAGTGTTTGGCAAACTATGGCCCACAGGCCAAATCTGGCCCAACGCTTGCTTCTGTAGAACCCATGCACTATGAATGGCTTTTACATTTTTTAATGGCAAAAAAAGAAATCAAAAGAAGAGTAATACACCTCCTGACATGTGGAAATTAAATTAAATTCAGATTTGTGTCCACAAACAAGTGTTACTGGAGCACAGCCACTCAACCACGCTGCCTGAGGCTTTGTGCTACAATGGCTGAGCTGAGTGGTTGTAACAGAGACCATATGAAAGATTATCTGCCCCAAAAGTTTGCCAAAACCTGCCCTATATTAAAAGTTTTGCTAATTTGCCTTGAAATAATTGGCTTTAGCTATGTAGCTTTGCACAAGAAACTCCAGATGGTTTTACTGAATACCATCTGAGCAACATAATAGAGAAATTATTGTATCTCATTGTAGATAAGCTAAAAGCCAGCATATCCCGATGGCATTTTTGGGGAAAATAAACAACTATATTTTTTAACAACAAAGTAGTTCATCCATCAAATCACTTTACCATTTCCAGTGGGGAAAGTTATTACTTGCCTTACTGCTTCTACCATTTAAGAAGCCCAAAGTCCTCCACTTATAAACAAAATATGCCAGAATATACGTGTATCCTTTTCTTGAAAGGGACAGAAGAAACAAAATACCAGGTGGCGCAAAGTAGGGGCTAATGGTCACTTTTTGGCGTAATTATCAGACATAAGAGTAACCTGCAGTGTTACCTTCTGCCTCAGAACAAAGTCTTCAATATATTCTCCCTATCTGAGCTTTTTAGTAGAAAAATTTTCATACATACAGAAAACTAAAAGAATAGGTCAATGAAACTCCTACAAACTTTGCCTAGATTAATAATCACATGCTCAATTAATTACATGCTGTCATCTTTGTTTCCTCCATTTCTTCACCTGTCCTAGGCAGAACAGTGACTGAATATTTAGGGACTAACCTGCAGATCATCGAAACACTTCACCCTAAATACTTTAGTGACCAATACCAGGATAATAATTTTCAAGGAAATACAGATTTTTAAAAAAACTTTAGAGAGGGTATAAAAACATGAAATAGGGAAAAAAAAGAGTCCCGTCCCTATACCCCCCAACAAATTAGTGAAAATACAGGCAACCTCCCAAACCCCAATAATACACAGAGTTAACACTGGAATGTTGGCCAGAGACCACAGGAGTCATCTGATTATCAGCACGATTCTCAAGAGAGACCAGGACAGCTTAGCCTCCCACACTCCATGACTTCTTCATGGAGACCACACCTCTGCACTTACCTGAGGGCAGCAGCATGGTAGGTGTCTACATAATCAGAAATGAAGAGCTCTCGGTTCTTGATAACTGGGTCTGTAATAACAAGTTCTCTTCCAGAGTCTGTCAAAAAAGCAATTCATTAAGAGGACATTAAAACTGAGTGTCCCAAAACAATTAGGAAAATTTTACAAAATTTTTCTTTCAGGGTCACCTCCCACTAAAGAAAGCACAATAAATAACCAGGCCTGGTCAGCAAAACAAAACAGAGAAGAGGAATAATGTAGAGCAGAAATAACAAAAACAAATATTCTGCTGGGTGTGTTTTATACCTTTTACTAAAGTTCCCACAGTTTGCTGAAATGCAATAAGCACAAATTTTTTTTAAAGGGAAGAAACAACTATTGCATTTTAGCAATTTGTAAACTACTAAATATTTAATTATCCTGTCCATCTTACTTTTTATTGCTAAACAGTCCAGGATGAAGTGAAATCAAGAGTTTCCATTGAAAAGAGTAACTGTTATTCTTTTTAATAACAAACCATAATTTAACTGCATTAACAGAAATTTTTATAGCTTCAAAGGAGAAAATAAGTAGTAAGATGTGAAAGAATATCATTTTATCATTCTCCAAAACTATTTGTGATGATGGTTGGTCGAATTAAAACCTATCACCAAAAGCAGTGTGAAGAGTGAAGGGCACAGACATCAAGGAGAGAGCTGGCCTTGGCAACTTCCTCAGGATCTCTAAGCCTCATTTTCCTCATCTGGAAGTGGGGAGCGACATATAATTAATGGGAAACAAATGTGAATCAGCTATCATGAGGTCTAGCACCTCTCAAAAAAATCAATGAAAGGGAGCTATTATACATCTGAACAAATGTAATATACATTTCATGTTCACATCTTATGTGTAAATGGAGTTATTGGGCAGACACTACAGTGCCAGGGGAAGAAAAAAGATGCTTGAACAACCTTCCTATTGTTCTGAAAGTCAAGATGCAAGCTGAATTCCAAAACATTCAGGAAAGCTTTGCTTTGAAACTGAAGTTCAAACCCTGAATACAGAGAACTTCAATGATACAGACTCTGTTGAAAAAGAGGAAAGAAATAAAATACAATCCTGTAGGTTATAAGCATTATTAGTTCATCATTAGGCAAGAAAAAGAAGTTACTGTCGTTTCCAAAAAAGACCTATCTCTATCCGAGTTTACAAGGAAGATGTCATAGCACATGCTCAGGTTCTTTCCTTTTAAAGGCAAAAATAACGAAAGAACTCAGCAGAAAGTGAGTATTCCACTAACGTCCTATTTATAAGAAGCTATTTTAGAAAAATGTTCATAGTAGTGATCTCCATTTAATAAATGTTTTCAGAACAAACTTTGTCCAAAGCTATGAAGGGCATATTTACCATTTTCATTGTGTCGATCCTGAACCAAATGCTGATACACAGAATCTGGAACTTCAGACTGACGGTAGTACCATTTGACGTTCATGAGTAGGTGGTCCCTCTTACTCTGAAAAGGAAAATCTAACAGCATTAGGAACAGGGTTTCAGGTGCCCACAGCTGCATACCATACCCATGAACACAGTCCCTGGAAACAGATGGACAGGCAGAGAGGGAAACACACAAATTCCACCAGGACCACAAAAATACATGTCAATAACGAGGTCAAATTTTATTTTTCTAAATTACAGCCACAGCACCCCCTCTGATCTGATCCCTCAAAGTTGCTCATTAAAGGGAAACAAAGGAAAGCAAACTTGAATCTATAAATATCCCCAGTTTAACTTATTCAATGTTATATATTTTTATTTGGCATTAACTACATAGTTCTACATGAATACATGCTCCTATCTTAATTTTTGACCATTTTAAATATTTATTAACTGTGTTATTTATAAATATTTATAAACACTGTGAAGCCATTAAGGGCAATACGTTACAAAGAACTTACCCAACAAGGCCTGGCACAGTCATCTCTCCAGGGTTCGCTAATCACCCAGACTGAGTTACATTCTCCCTCCACTTTCCTGCCACTTAATTTGCAGTTATTGCTACATGGCAGACTAACACAGCAAGCTACGAGTAGTGATGAAGGTGCTGAGAGTCCATGAAACATGGACCCTGGCTTATTTATCTTTGAATTAGCAGAGAATTGAACACCTTGTATATAAGTATTTGTGAATAATGAGAGTTCTATGATGATCAGGGTCCCATAGATGTTGTAAAACACGTAACTTTGTTAGCTATAAAAGTTAACTTTGTTCCTAATGCAGTATCAAACGCTGCCCTTCCATTTGAAGGCTACACCATGAGGTACATCATCTGTGCCACCAGCTGGGAAACATCTCAACATGCCAGATCACTAGGCTTCTGTGGCCTCATGAAATAGCTTCCCAACCAGGGAGGGCCTTAAGACACTTCCCAAGGTGAATGCAATATCACTCTTAGCAGCTTCTTCCTTGTCATCACAAGTCAGCGGGTCAGAAATGAATGAGCACTTCAATCTGAGAAACGCCTCATGTTTATAAAGGAGATGACTAAATTCTCAAATATGTCAATGGAGCCTTCATTATGCTTCCTGCTTAAATGACGTGTGTGTGTGTGTGTGTGTGTGTGTGTATACATATATAGTATATGAAAAATGTATATATTCTTCACTGAAATGCCAGTAAGACTAAAAACAAACAAAAAACCTTTGGTAGAATATTTAAGCCATTTAAAGGAACAGAAAGAAAAACTACCAAAAGTCTTGACTCTATGCAAATGTGAAGAAATCTATTCCTAAGTAAATATAAACATCCACGTTCCTCCTTTACAATTAATTGTGCCGAACAGACAGGCTTATAAAAATAGGACAGCATTACTGGTTTCAATAAAACAGATTGTATGCAAAGAATAATCCTACATAATGGGTATCTTTACTTTCTATCCAATTTGCACTTTATATTCCACACTGTTTATACTGCAGGTGGGAAGATGAGGACAAATCAGTATGTTAAGTAATAAGAATAAATGTTATATATAGGAGGTTATGTACAAGAGCAATTACTTCCAGCAGGGAATTATGAAGGAGGTAAAATCTAACCTAGGAAAATGGAAAATATTTCATTGGATTCTTTCTAGGCAAAGGATGACACCCAAGAAAGATATAGAGAAAGAGAAAATACAAGACATATCCACATGCACATGGTCCATCTGTGTGCAGCACAGAAAATGTTCTGCATGGTACTGAAAAGAACCTGAATCCTGACTGTAGTTTGGCCTCCAGTGGGGTCCACTAGCCCACTGCTGACCAATGCCTGACTGTAGTTTGGCCTCCAGTGGGGTCCACTAGCCCACTGCTGACCAATGGGGTCCACTAGCCCACTGCTGACCAATGGGGTCCACTAGCCCACTGCTGACCAATGGGGTCCAATAGCCCATGCTGACACAAAACACAGGAGAGCAGCCAGAGGGCTACCGTTTCATTCCTAGACAAGGTAACAAAAAGCAGGCCCAGGATGAGAGCACTCATCATGGAAACAAACAAACCAGGCGGAGGGACAGTCTGGTTGATGGCACTCGGGGCTAAAAGTCACTTAAGTAAACATACTGTCTAATACAGGGCTTCTCAACCACACTGTTGCCATCTGGTCCAGCGAGGCCAGTGTGGAACCTGTCCTGTGTATTGTGAGATGCTGAGCAGCATCCCTGGCCTCCAGACACACTAAATGCCAGTAGCACCCTCCCGCTCACTGTGACAACCAAAAGTGCCTGCAAGCATTGCCCAATGTCCTCTGTGGGACAGATTACCCCCAGTTGAAAACCAAAGGTCTAACAGTTTCCTTTTTAATGAAAGCTAAATCAGAATGGTAAGACTAAAACCTAGGTCAAGTACTATCAGGTGAAGAACATGGACCACAGGCAACAGAAACAACCTTTTAAAGGTAACATAACTGGCAACTGTACAATGTCTATTTTTCAGAACCCCGGCAGTGGTTCTTGAAGTATAATATTTATGTTATCTTCTGACCCAAACAGTTAATTATTACACACACACAAAATTACTGTTCTGGTTTCTTTGTACCTAGACTTAGGACTCCTAATGTTAGACTTGACAGAGGCAGCGGAAAGCCTATTGGACTTTCTAATGCAGTACTACTCAATAACCAGCGAGCGGCAGCATTGCATTAAAAAGCCTCCAGACACTTGATTGCACAGATATAACACAACAAAGGTACTAAAGTAAACTTAAGTAGCTGAAATAGATACACTCTTCCTAAATAGATCAGAAATTTGGTTAAAGATTAAACATCTATAAAGGGAGGCAGTAAATTGTTCTAGAGAGTACTCAACTGACATTAGGTAATCCGGGGGTCCTGGGGGGGGGGGGGGCCTTAGTGGAGTCACCAAGCTACATGACAAGTGAAGGGACAGAACAAAATTATTTCTATGGTCCCATTCCATCTTGCTTATGCTTAGATTTCTTCCCCAGACAAAACCAAGTAGATAAGATGGGATTAGGGGTGTTTTCTCTACATCAACATAATGGCATTAGCCAACATTACCACCCTAAAAAGGTTTTACAAATTAAAATGTCATCTTCATGCCCTATCCGGTTTGGCTCAGTGGATAGAGCATCAGCCTGTGGACTGAAAGGTCCCAGGTTCGATTCCGACCAAGGGCATGTACCTTGGTTGCGGGCACATCCCCAGTACGAGGTGTGCAAGAGGCAGCTGATCGAAGTTTCTCTCTCATCGATGTTTCTAACTCTCTATCCCTCTCTCTTCCTCTTTGTAAAAAAATCAATAAAATATATTAAAAAAATAAAATAAAATAAAATGTCATCTTCCATGGAAGCTAACTGCAGTGCACGGAGGAACACCAGAAGGGAGCAGAGCGTAAACCCCTCTCCCACAAAGCTACCAAAGCCCCTCAGACACAGGGGTGCTGCTCAAATGTGAGCCACAGGAAATCATCTTCTTCCCGCTACTCGGCAGTCAGATTCTGCTCAAAATCACAGAAAATTAAAGGTAGAAGTGAACTCAGAGGTCATCTGATTCAACCCAAACCACTGGGTTTAAATCATGGCTTTGCAACTTACTAAGCTGTGTGACTTCGGGCAAATGACTCTTCTAAGCCTCAATTTTCTCATATGTAAAATGAGGAAAAAATAATAGTCTCTAGCTCTTTAGGTTGTGAGGATTAAATAAATGAATATAAGTAGAGTGGGTTGGCTCTCAATAAATGCTGGATATTACCACCACTGTTTTACAGATGAAAAGAGAAGTCAAGCTATAATAAGAAGTGGCTTATAAATTTGCTTTTCTCCAATACAAAAAGCAGGCGAGCAATAGCAATAAAAAAACAAATCATGTAGCAAATTAGGTGGATGTATCTTCGGTTTTGCAACAATTCAAGAAGCATATCAAGTATATCTGACAAATATGCCTCATTATTGACTAGTGATATAATTGTACAATTGCATAAAGGTCAAAGTGGTTATAAATGACACATTTTAAACGGAATGTGGTGAGAAGCTTCCTACGTGAAGGCACCCTGGGGTATATTTCTGAATACAGAGAAGAGCCCACTGGGAAGTAAATCATTTCCCACTATTTTATCTTTAAAGAGAGGAGAGACTGATTGATTTTGTCTGAGTCCAGGTGGTTGGAAGCCACCAAACAGGAGCACCTCCAATCTACTTAAAATAGTTTCAACAGCAGTGGCTCAGTGCAAAAAAGGGGGAGCAGCTGATTCTGGGTTAAATTGTGGATTCTTCCACATGCCTGGCCAGGATTTCTTTGAAATGAGGGATTGTGTAAATTTAAGGAAATAAAGAGTTTAACAGAAGACAAACCCATCCCCACCTGGATTTAGGAAAAAGCTAGCCTAAGTGTTTGGGAGCAGAGGAGGACATCTAGAGCTTTGAATGCCAGCCAACAGGCTGAGAATTAATGAGTTAAAAATTCGGAACTGAAATTAAACATTCAGAATGAGATAATGAACAAAGGGAGAAAGTAGGCAATGGAGACAGGAAAAGCAAACAGGAGGCTGCTGTTAAAGGGATACTGATTCATTTTTATCAACACAACCATCCCGAATACAAATACAAGATCCAAGGCCAGGACCTTCCATACAGGTTTTTCATTATGATTAATATAGTAAGTGCTTCAATTGATTTAAATTGCCAATCTGAGTCTTTCCTAGGAGCATTATTATCATCCTCTGGGAAAAGGTTTTAACACGTTAAAAAATAGAGGAAGCACAGGGAGGTGGGGGTAGGAAGAGAAGGACAGGAGCGCAGAAATGACCGACAAGTGCAGAGATTCTCTACACATACGGAGGAGGCCCCCAAATCAGAATGGGGAGAACAATACTTTTAAATTCACCTGCGTTAGAGGAAAGACCTTTTTAGCCCCATAAATCACCTACCAGGTCTTGGCGGATCCGTGAGGGGTCCCGAAGCCCTCCACACAGGCCACGCCAGTCCCTCTGCTGTTATCAACTGTGACAGAGACCTGGTCCCA